TCTTTCTCCAGATGCAAGGAATCAGCCTGCATGTGTCTGCAAGTGGGTGTGCCAAGCAACAGGCCTCAGGGGCTTTATCCGTGACTCTCACAGCCCTTGTGGACTGAGCTCTGAGCTTCAAGAGCACCATGCAGTGCCCATCTGATTAAACTCTTAGTCAGCTGACTTCAAGGACCAATCCAAGTCCAGCAGAGCATCTGAAGCCTCAGCTATAGCCCCGGGTTGCTGTAACTGCCCTGTCTGTGTGGAGAGGATTGTGGCTGGCTAAGCGTCTACTCCATTCCCCTGCACTGCTGCCCTTTGGAATCCAGCTTCTTGCATGCCTTGAACTAAACGTTGTATCTCTAGCCCTTCTGATAATTGATTTCTACTTCTGGTACTTGATTCTTGCCTATCCTGGACTGTCCTAGTTACCTGTAGTCTCAGTGGATCAGATAAGGCCCCAATGAACAAACAACCAATTCTCTGCTGACTCTGGATCCCTAAGTTCCTGGGGACCTTACTAGCCCCCCCTTTCTTTTATCTATGCCCCTCCTGGGCTGGCCTGAAGAAGCTGTCCGTCCTAGTTACCTCCCAATTGTGCCCCATCCTTTTCCTGATATGTGGGTGATATTGGTAAGCCAGCTTCACTGTTGCTTATCAACTACAGTACATTTTCCACATTCCCCAGATCCCAGCCAAAATGACTATAACAAAATTTTATTCCCACATAAGAGTTCAGGTCCCTGAAAGTTTATGCTAGTGTTGGAAAAGGCAATGTCTGATGTACAAAGAAGGCTATGCAGGGGCCAGCAAGAAGACAATTAGGTAGGATAGTGAGGTCGGCACCTTCTCTCCTTTCAAGTATCATTCCTTCTCTATCTTCAGATTGCTAATGTCAGGGCAATTCCCCCTTTTTCTCGGAAGTGGCAATTTTTTCTCGGTAGTCAGTCTTACCCTCTCTCTCAGCTAGAGACATTGTTAGGAACCTGTCTCTGTCTCTCCTCTTTCCTGTCAACTATGTTAATTCCTAAATAAATCTTTATTTACTCTTTAATCAGGTTGTGCACCATTGCTGTGATAATTACTCTGCCAACAGTTAAGAGTACATTTTTTTTTGCTAGGTATTAAGATGTAACAAGGTTGTTGTTGTTGTTGTTTTGGGCTGCAGTGGACTAACATGGCCACCCCCTTTAACAAAATGGCTGACTAGACTGTAGTTCTGAATGAAGGCCAGATACCACAAAGGTAGCATCTCTCAGCTTTGGCAGGCCAAAGTGCAGGATTATTGTGATTGGGCTGAATTCTGCCAGCTTTTTCCTGCTTGATCTTGCCTGAGTCTCCTTCTGACTGCTCTGTGGCCTTTGTCTATGGAAGTGTTCTGATCCTGGGCATAGCCATTTTGGTGGTCCAGAAGGGCTTCTCATCCCACTTTCACAAGTGAAAAAACTAGAACTTTCAACTCCTCTAATCCTGATGCTTCCTGAGCCAAGGATTCATTCTCCCAAGTCTCTTTCTTCAAGGAGTGACAATTGGTTAGGAACTTTTTGGTCACAGCACAAGTTTAGAGAGTGCTATTTTCACTGTGTTGAATAGGGATGATGGTTTATATAATATGTGTAAGTTTTACTTTGAGGGGTTTGTAACCTCACTGTAACTGGTACCTGTAGCTATATGAATTGTCTTGAATGTCCACCCATGCTTTATTTCCAGGACTTCATTTTAGTATTTATTTCCCCCCCTCCCATTCTCAGTTCAGGTCTAAATGTGAGGTGTATTCAAATGGCTATTTTAGAGTCCTCATTAGTACTTTTGTTCACCAGGATTGTATCTGGTCTAGTATAATCTATTATTTATCTATTAAAATAGTTTTATCCCAGTTCTTTGTTGCATTTATGGTACCACCAGTATACATTTTGCTCTATAGAGCAACATTAACAGGAGACACACCTTGGTGTTTACAACCTCACAAGCTAAGTTTAGGTTGGACCAAGGGAGGGGACAAAGGCAATGGAGGGAAGCTCAAGGGGAAGGGAGATACGTAGTCAAATACAAGGATACATGGCTGGGTTTTTATTTTTTCACAATTTAAATGCTGCCTTTCTATCATACAAGTGGCACACAAGTAGGGATGAAAGGCCTCTTGCTATAGTAGGAGACCTTCCGGTATCCACCCATGTTGCCTGATGGCACTTCAGCCACTGGCAGAAAGAAATGGGAGGGGGAGCACCCACACACTTCCATCACTTCTGGTAAAAACTGGAAGTGACCTGGGGACGCTGTAGCATTTTGTGAAAACTCTGTGATACGTGCTTTTGTGAATCCTAGAGCGTCTAAAGACATCACTTCCAGTTTTTAACCAGAAGTGAAGTCAGTGTGTCAGCACAATGTTGTAATCCCAAGATCCACCTCCAAATTCCTCCTGTGGGTTTTGGGCTGTGGGTCTGGCAACCCTGCTCCCAACTAGGGTTGCCAGCTGGTGGCTCTCACCTGTCAGGACACTAGTGCAAGGACATGGGGTGGGACATGTCCCACAATTGGCACTGAGGCTAGGACTCCTATCAGTTCTGGGACTGCTGTCAAAACTTTGACTCAGCTTGCAGAAATGCGGATGTTAGGTAACTGTGCAGGTCACGGTACTCCAGATCCTTTGGAAGATTCTACTGAGAGCAAGACCAAGCACACACACAACCGATCGGGTGAATGAATCATATTGGTTTATTTATTTATGATTTCTATTTATATCCCAGCTTGCTGGACACGCTGGCTGAAGTCGGCTAACAGGGTTAAAATAACGTCAACAACACAGAGATAAAACAGTTAAAAATACAAGACAAAACAGCAACAGTTACAGATAAAAACCAACAGATGATGACGATAATCCAAATCACACCCAATGATAGGAGTAGCATCCAGCAAGGTCTCAGGCCAGAAGATGTCCCAGGGCACATTCCCAGTGGCGGCTCCTAATTGAAAGCCTGGTGGAACAGCTCCAACTGTAAAAGGTCCCGCAGGGTCCTGATGTCCTCTGGGAGCTCATTCCACCAGTATGGGACAGCCACTGAGAAAGCCCTGGCTCTGGTGATATTCAGCCTGGCTTCTTTTGGTCCAGGGAAGGTCAAGCGGTGTTGCAACCCTGACCTCAGTGCTCTCTGGGACACATGTGGGGAAAGGCAGTCCCTCAAGTAGGCAGGCCCCTGACCATATAGGGCTTTAAAGGTTAAAGCCAGCACCTTGAACCGAATCCAGTACGCTATAGGCAGCCAGTGCAGTGTCCTCAGCACAGGCTGGACATAGTCCTGTGTAGAGAGACCCATCAGCAGCCTGGCTGTGGCATTCTGCACTAGCTGCAGCCTCCGGATCTGGGACAAGGTCAGCCCCATGTAGAGAGTGTTGCAGCAGTCTAATCTCAAGGTGACCATTGCATGGATCACTGTTGCTAGGTCATTGCATTTGAGGAAGGGAACCAACTGCCTAATCAGCCGTAGCTGGTAAAAGGCCGCCTTGGCAGTGGCTGCTACCTGGGCCTTCATTGTTAAGGAGGCATCCAGGAAAACTCCCAGACTCCTAACCCTTGGTGCTGGCACCAATGGCACCCCACCGAAGGTAAGTAGTGGGATCCCTACCCCAACCCGCTCCGACTCAGGCACAGGACCTCCGTCTTCATTGGATTCAATTTCAATCCGCTCTGTCTAAGCCAGCCCACCACATCCTAAGCGCCTGCTTCAGGCCATCTGGGCTGGAGTTGGACTGGCCGCTCAACAACAGATATAGCTGGGTGTCATCAGCGTACTGATGACACCCCAGCCCGTGCCTCTGGGTGAGGGGGCGCATGTAGATGTTAAACAACATTGGGGATAGCACCGCCCCTTGAGGCACCCCGCACAGCAGCAGGTGCCTCTGGGACATCTGCTCCCTTACCGCCACCCTCTGTCACCGACCCTGTAGAAAGGAGACAAGCCACTGCAAGGCCAGCCCTTGAATTCCAGTGTCGGCGAGGCGGTGGATCAGTAACTGGTGGTCAATGGTGTCAAGCGCCGCTGACAGATCCAGCAGCATCAGTACTGGCGTACCGCCTTGATCCAGATGCCTTCGGAGGTCATCTGTGAGGGCGACCAGTGCCATCTCCTTCCCATGACCTGGCCGGAAGCCAGATTGGAACAGGTCCAGCATGGAAGTGTCATCAATAAAGCTCTGCAACTGAATCGCTGCAGCTCTCTCCAGTACTTTGCCCAAATAGGGCAAATTGGAGACTGGCCGGATCCAGTGATGGTTTTTTCAGGAAAGGGCAGACCATCGCTTCCTTAAGTGCCCCTGGGCACAGCCCCTCATAGAAGGACTTGTTGATAAGGTCCCTGAGGGCACTCGTAGCCCCTCATGAGTAGCTTTTATAAGCCATGAAGGGCACGGATCAAGGCTGCACGTGGTTGGGCGTACCATTGAGAGCAATCAGTCGACTTCCTTAAGACTGAGTGGACTAAAATAATCCAGAATGGAACTGGAAGACGTGCATGGAGCCTCGAGTTCGCTCACTGTCTCAACTGTGGCCGGGAGGTCATGGCGGAACAACAGGACTTTATCTGCAAAATAGGTTGCAAAAGCCTCACAGCCAATGTCCAATTCCCTATCATTTGGCCTGTCCTGTGGCAGCTCTGTTAATGACTGAATAGTTCAATAATTGTGCCGGGCATGAACTAGCAAATGCAACCGTGGCCAAGTCTCTTTGCGTCTTTGACTGCCAACTCATAGGATCTCATAAACGGTGGCGCAGGCGGCTAAACACCTGCTAACAATAACATCTGAACAGTCGCTATGGCTGTTTGAGAATCCACCGTGGCCAGGGTGAGCGCCTGGCCCCGAGGCCCAGCTCCTGCCTACCCAACGGCCCGAAAGCGATTAAAAAAAAAATCATGCGAGTAGGCAAATGGGTACCCACCCTTAGAAGGGTGGGGGGCACCTGCCTCTGTAAAAAGGACATTCGTGGTGGTCGCAGCAGCGTGTGGCGTGCGGTGAAAACATAAATGGCGGCGGCGGCGGAGCCTGGATGGCAATGGCGAGGAGAAACATCGGTTGAGCGATCCCTGGCGGCGGAAGACTGCGGTGGAGACTGGCGTCGGCGTCCGATGACATGTACTGTGAGCGCGGCGGAGCCATTCAGGACAGAGCCGAGGCTGGAACAGACGCGAAGGCAGGCGCCGGGAAGACGGTCCCACCAAGGAAAAAGCAGCCAACCAGTGGACATAAGATGCCAGTTAACCGCCGAAGAAAGGAGAGCACCCAACAGCCAGAAAGAGAACACAGCGGACCTATCACAGGGTGCTGGTAGGGAACCCCCCACCCCTTCAGTATGTGGCCTTAGATAGGGTTAACAGTTCATAAGAACGCCTCTGTGAACCGCCCAGAGACCCCTAGGGGTTAGGGCGGTATAATAAGTTGAAATATAAATAAATAAACGTCCTATATGATGCTCTTGCTGCTTCATCGCAGGTGCGCTGCCACCATCTCTCTAGTTGTCTGAGCCCTCATTTCATTTGCCGCAGCTCCTCAGTAAACCAGGGAGCCCGCTTAGAATGAGGGAGCAGAGGGCGTCGGGGGGGCGATCTCATCGATGGCTGTCAAGAGCCGGCTGTGCCAGTCCTTGACAAGCTCATCTAGCGAATAGTTTATCAAATACAGCAGCACGCTATTCTAGCAATAGCAGGAGAAGAATTCAGACAAAACTGTAAACAATTATAGTTTATCACTTGATGATAACAACCTTATTAACCACATAAGATAAAGAGCAGTAACACCGAAAATCTTAATTTTAAAATACACAACAAATAACAAGTATAAGGCTAGTAAACCCTAGAATGAAATACTGGAATGAAAAAATGATAATGAAAGGAAAAACACAAAAATTCTTAGATCCATTAATTGTATGTATTACTCAAATTGGCAGTCTCCTAACTAGTGGGGGAAATTAGCTTTAATGGAGACAGAGCAAGAGGTGGGAAACTGTGAGCTCCACCTATGTATACGGGGATCTTTCCCTTAGAGAACTCTCGAAACAAACCAGTCCAATGTTAAACTGGAAAGGGTTTTATTGAGAAAGGAATCAAATGGCAAAACACACATCCAAGCACATGGAAAAACACACAAGCTATCTAAGAGGAAATCTGGGGAGGATGGGAGAAAGCAATTTCGGGGAGGTGATAGTTACCAATCCCAAAGAGCGAGGTTTGCAAAGGCAGCAGCGAAATGACAAACATCTCACAGAGGAGAGGAGAAGGCCCACGCACAAGTGGGGATGTATGTATGGGTCCCACATACACACTGCTATGGCGCAGCATGCTGCCATTATAGGGGAAAATACTCCCTGGGGCAGTCTTCACATGGTTGTCCCCAAAACAATAACTTTTTCAGAATTGAACAATGATTTAGGAGATGCTTGATGGGTTTATCTGAGGTGGACTATAGGTGCTAATGGCTCTTGATGATCTTCTAAGTACCGGACAGGAGAAGCTACCAGGTTTTGCATTAAGTGTTGCTTAATTAGGGTAAATGGGTGCAGGGAAGTGAGGCTGGGTGTGGATGAGGTTAATCCAAGGTGAGGAGATATCTTTCCTGGGATACCCTTTCTCCTGATTATGCATCTCTTTAGGGTGGGGAGACCATCAGCTAGCCAGCCACTCTGATTCATTTTCCAAAATTCTTTCTCAGGCTCTTACCTGGCTGGCATCCATTTTGTTTCATTTTAGGCCAGGCAGTGCCCTGCACATATGATTTGGGGTGGCATTAAAGAAGGGTTTTTATGTCTCTCTCTAGGCACTAAACTGCCCCTCTGCGGGAAGAAGGGTCTGACTGCTAACATATGGGAACTCAATGGGGTATCATGTCATAGAGTCTACTTTCCAAAGATGCCTTTTCCTCCAGAGGAATTGATCTCTGTCATCTAGAGATCAGTTGTAATTCAGTGGTTAAGTGTGCGGACTCTAATCTGGGAGAACCGGGTTTGATTCCCCACTCCTCCACTTGCACCTGCTGATGTGACCTTGGGCCAGTCACAAGCTCTGGCACAGCTGTCCTTGAAAAAGAGCAGTTTGTGTCAGAGTTCTCTCAGCCCCACCCACCTCACAGGGTGTCTGTTGTGGGGAGGGGAAGGGAAAGAAGTTTGTAAGCCACTCTGAGACTCCAAGTGAAGGGCGGGGTATAAATCCAATCTCCTCTTCTTCCTCTTCCTCTTCTTCCTCTTCCTCTTCCTCTTCTTCTTCTTCTTCCTCTTCTTCTTCTTCCTCCTCTTCTTCTTCTTCTTCCTCTTCTTCTTCTTCCTCTTCTTCTTCTTCCTCTTCCTCTTCTTCTTCCTCTTCTTCCTCTTCTTCTTCTTCTATTATCAGTTGTAATTCTTTTCCACATACAAACAGCCCATTCTTCCCGTCCTTCAAGGCTGCTTGGTCAGAGCGATTCCCTTATATTTAAGGTCTATTGATAAGATACCTACAGTCATTAGGAAGCAATACCATTCTTTATTCATAGGATCTGGTCTCCCACAGGCACGCCAAACTCATAAGATGGGAGCATTTACTATAAATTCACCACAATCCCATAGCAGCTGCAGTATCATGTGTGAAAATGCAGGGAGTATCCTGCTTAGTGTCTTTGTGTTCATGCACCTGCATTTTTGAGCATGTGGCACAAAGACAAAACCCTTCACTCATCTAGAGATTCTGGGAAGGAAACTCTTCCTAGCAATTCACAAGATATTAACAAGATATCCCCCATGGTGGATTGCATGGGTGGGTGTCATTCCTGTATTGCATTCCAAATCTGTTGAGAGTCTACTTTAATCACCCAGAGCTATTGCAATTCAAGGATTAGCTATGTCAACCTTGTTTATTCATTCATAACTATGATTCACCTGCAAAACCTCTTGGAGGCATTGGATCTGCGTTGTCTTCTGTCTTCTGTCCAACCGCATATCTTTCAGCAAAGTCTCCAAATGTTTTGCAGGTTCACTGACTCGGAGAGAAAGTAATTTTTTTCCTGCCTTTCCATGCACATATCTCTGTGTGATCTATTGTGTGGTGACAACAGCCTTCTGTGCTCAACAAGGATATATTTTATTTACCAAAAAATTGATCTGGATGTATGGCAAAAATTATACTGGTGCAATCAAACAACAAACATCACTTATTGCTGCTTATTATTTGGGTTTCATCCTCCCTTCAATGGCTACTGCAGTGTGGAAACAGGGTGTATGTCTCTGTGCCGCAAAACTGCTATAATGCTGCCATACAGCCGTAGTGAGGAAAAATGCAGGAAGGCACAACATGTTCCTTGTACCCAACTGGAACGTATTGCTCCTGCAGACTGTATAGAGGACAGTAGTTAATAGAATTAATATAATTAGTACCAGGGGTCATTTCGTCGAAAAAGAGGTGCAAGGAGCTCATTAGCATAACTTATTAGCATAACTTATTTGCATATGTCACACCCCCTGGCATCACCGGAAGTGTGTCAGAAGGCAACACCCACCACTCAGGCTCCACTGGACTGTTTTGGATTGCTAGCTATTGGGAGGGGGGAACGTGCAGATCTGTCCCTCACAGAGGAGGGAGAGCTCGCCCCTGAATAAAACTTGGTCTTAAAGGTGCCACTGGACTGTTTTGGACCGGGGGGCCAGAGGCTCTGCAGCTTACTTGGCTGCTTTTTGCTCTGACTGAGGGCTGCTGGGAGCAGGGGGTGGGGCTTGTTGCATGTGCCCGCCCCCTGGGCTCTTTACTGCCGGAGCTCCGCTCCTGTTCGCTCCTGCAGGAAATGACCCCTGATTAGTACTGCAAAAACAAAGTAGATTGCCTACAGTCCTTTCAAAGGAAAATCAAATTTTGCTCAGCAAAATGTTCAAAGTTAAGTCAAGTTCTTACCAAATATGAACTTTATGTTAAAATTCAGGATGTTTTGATTAGTCCCCTTTTGCATAACAGGCTTTGCTCTTCAGAAGAGAGGCTCGTCTCCTTCCTTTTATCAGACCAGTGCCCCCATATCACCTTCTCAATAGCGAGGTATTTCTCGATTGTTATGAGGATTAGGGAACATAATGTTAACACTCTGGAGGGATGATTGTCTTTCGCCTATTAAAATTGTGGTCCTGGTTATGCTTTCAACCTATGCCAATAAAGGTACTGAACCGAACCTGTGAACTGTAGTAAAAAGGCTACATGCCATGATCAGAAACATGTTCACAGTTACAGAGCAAAGGAACAGATTAAATGCAGAATAAATTTGCAGTGTCATAGATAACTCTCTTGCAGTCAAACCGAAGATGTACTAGGGCTGAGGTGTCAAGATTCCACTGTATAGATGGTATATGACACCAAAAAAGATTGCAAATATAAATAGCAATATGTCAAACAAATGTTGGAAGTGTAAAAAAATAGAGGGCTCTTTTTATCATATGTGGTGGACATGCGATAAAGCAAAAAAATTTTGGGCTGAGGTTCATGCGGAGATGGAGAAAATTGTGAAATGTAAATTTAAGAAAGAACCCAAAATATTACTTTTGGGACTTAAAATGGAAGAAGTCAATATGGCGAAAAGGACTTTGATGTGGTACATGATCACAACTGCTAGAATGACATATGCTCGATGCTGGAAGCAAGACAGAACTCCCGAAATTGGGGAGTGGATAAAGAAATTACTTTTTATGGTGGAAATGGAAAAAATGACAAGAAAGCTGAAGAATCTGGAAGCAGAAGAATTTTTCGCAGACTGGAAAGACTTTAAAGAATATTTAGAGAAATATTGGGATGTAGAGAACAACTTAATTTGCTTTGATAACTATTGAAAAAAGAATATTAGAAGAAGGATAAATATATAAGAATAATAGTTGAAAGATATTGAAAAGTATGCAGACGGAGAGTGATTTCAGCTAAGCATACCTTTATTTAGTTCAGGACAAAGACGAAGGGACCAGCTCGCAGGCTGGTTATATAGGTTCAGAAAACCCGCCACCAAGTACACCTAAACACACCCCCTACTCCCGATAGGCTATTTACAGTAACCGGGCGACCATTGGTCTCCCGGCTGAGAAGCTGGCCCTCTGATTGGGGCCGGCTAGGATCCTACGGACCCATTGTCTTTGGACATGAAGCTATTGAAGAGTTGTGCCTGGCCAGCCCGGGCAAGTCCGGGCATGTCAGGCTGAATACATTACACCCCTCCCCCCTTGGTTCAGAAGGCACCCACAGACGAAGTCCTTCAAGTAGGCGGGTGGCTTCTTGGGGCGCGTCGAGCGTCGGGGCTCCGGGGTAGCGATGGGTTCGGTCTCGGGGGCCCTGGGAGCC